CGCTGAGGAAAAAAATAAAATTTAAAAGATCCTCAAGTCTTTAAAGGCAGCAGAGGGAAGGAGCAGGGAGCTGAGTTTCCCTGCTGGCATTCTCACAGAGCTGTCAGCTGCAGAATTCCTTCCAGGGAGCATCAAAACTGAGCAGGGCTCCTTGTTTTGTGTGTATTCAGAAACCCCCTGGCCTGGAGAAGCAGAGAGATCTCTGGCTATGGCTGCAGCTACCACCAAAGTGACATTCCATGGCAATCCCAGCGCTGCCACCTCCTCGGGTGGGAGGTAAACCCCAACCTTGGATTGGAACTGGAACCCCAATTCCACAGGCAGGGACACCTTCCACTCCACCAGGTTGCTGCAAAGCCCATCCAACCTGGCCTTGAAGGTTTCCATTCCCAACTTAGCACTTGCCCAACACCACTGTGAGAGGGGCCAAAGGGAGAACTGCAATTCCCAGCTCCCAGATTTTAAATTCTCCCTGTGGTGCTTCATCTCTGGATCCAAGGTGAGCAGGGTGCCAAGGGCTCAGGGGTATCCAGAGGATGGATAACCCATGGAACTGGGCAATACTGAGGATGTTCTCCTCAATAGAGTTGATACCTGGTGGGAAGTGCTGGCCAGATTTCAGAGCTGTTGGATCCAAATGAAAACCTTCACCCAAAACAACATTCCACATCTAAGAACCCTTCAAAGACCACAAACTGATGGGTTCAATGAGAAATGAAATGCAGCCCACAGAGAAGGTGTTGGTTTTTAAGTCAAAGTTCTCTCTCTGCAAGGAATTCAGCATAGAAAAGGCTTTGAGGGAATTATTTGGATGGAATAAAAAGAAACCAAACAATGTCTCACTAGGAAGTTTCAAATAAAATAAAATTTCTACTACTCCATCATCAAATAAACATTTCAAAATTGACCAGAGCTCTTTTTTGGTGAGAAATGCAATTCCTGGGGCTGCTCCCAGGCTGACATTTTTGTAAGCTCAACTCACCCTTTACACCTGCACCTCCACACAGAATTATTGCAGGTAAATTGTATTTCTTTGACTGGAAATGATCTGCACAGAAGCAATGACCTGTAAATTAAATGCCTGGGGAAGGAATACAAGGAATATGGAATACTGCTCCACTCCCTTAGTGATGCCAGGTAATAGGGGCACCAGGAAAAAATCCAAACCAAGTGGGTGCATCCCTGCTTTTCTCCTGCCACTGGAGTGAAGAGCAGAGTGTGGAACGAGAGAGTGAGCAAAGGAAAAATAAAAAGCCAGGGAATTTTGGCAGCTGCCTGTTTTACAGCAAAGTGGTTTGTAGGGAGAACATCCCCAGGAATAACTCCTGTGCTGTTTGCAGGGAGAGAAACCAGATATTTGTTAAATTCAAGGGAGTTTCTTTTTGCATCTCCTGAAAGAAATCACTAAAAACTCCCAGGGTTGTCAACTGCATTTCAGCCACACGTTTTGCCTGAAGCATTCCCCAAGGTACAGAGGGGTTTGCAGCCAAGGAAGCCCATCAGGATCCCTGGATTGCTCTAAAACTGTGGTACAGACTCATGGGAGCACCATGGGACAGCCAGCACAGGAGGAATCTGACACTGGGTTCTAACCAAAGCACAGCAAGATGAAATATTTCTCATTAAACAATGCCACGAGTGGTCAGGAGCTGGTTTTCCATCCCACCTTATCGGTTAAGCTGTTTGAGGTGACCACACACCTCAGAGCACTTAATATATTAATTTTCTCAGCACTCTTTGAGCAAGGAAAACATTCCCTGCCATTTGCAAGAGAGAAAACAAAATATGGAGACACACCAGAAGTTCCTGGCAGAGCAAAGGACTGAACTCTTCCCTGGGCCACCTTTCTCCATCCTCAAGAAACCACAAATCCTCAATAAACCTTTAATGCAAGGACAGTGGTTTCTATGTGTTAGACATGGAGAATTTTTCCTTTTCCATAGCTCTTCATTTTTATCCTTTTTTCATTTTTATTTCTTCATTCTGCAGGGCCGGGCTGTGCTGTGGACAAGGCAGCAGGAACTGGAGGGAATATTTCTCCAGCACATTATTCTGTGCCTTCCTGATGGACTGCACGTGGAGCTTTGTGAATGAGCAGAGGTTGCAAAATGTATTTTGCCTGGGGCAGTGAAATAGCTGGGGCCAACCGTGTCATTCGGTTTCACTCACACTTTCCCTACCCTATCTCTATCTTGGTTTTTCCTTTTCTTTCCCTCTTTGTTGTCTTGGTTACATGGGCAGATTCCTGATACTCTGCTAGTATTCATTTTAATGATATGTTCCTGTAAAGCACAATATTTTCCTTCAGTTGTGTGTGCCACTGGATAAATTCCTTTGACACATGTGACATTTGTATATCAACTAACAGATATTGCTTTATGACTGTGGGTATTTTGCAGAGCATTCATGGATCGCATAAATCAAAATCTGATGCACAGTCTGCCACTTTCAAACATTAAAAAAAAAAACCCACACAGAGAGGAAAATACTGAAACTGCAGGAAAAAAAAAAAAAAAGCAGCAAAGTTTCTCCAAAACCATCTTGTAATGACTTGCAGCAAGTCTTCCGAGCACAGAATAAATCCTGCTATCTTGGGGATAATCTCAGAACTCCTCTTTCATGCCATCCAAAATATTCCACTGCAGCTTGACCGAGGAGCTGCACTGCACCAGGAGAAGCAGCAGAGTGTGACACGCCTGGTAGAACCCAACAGCACAAACAAACAAAAAAAAACATCCCAGCTCCTGGGATTTGTCCAGGAGTTTCATCTAATCCTACAAGGCTTACTCCAATTTACCACTGTTTTTGAGCAGAAAACAAACATTGTGCTAAAATAATGGATTCTGCTGGAGCTGTAGTCCCAGTGCAGAGTTTTCCTGGCAGCACCTGACTGGTGAGCCAAGGTGGAAAACAGCATCCAAAGGTTCATGGCAGGGGTCAAGGAGCATCAAGGGAAAATCCCGAGTGCCAAACCACCCAGAGGAGGTGACAGGTTGCTGTCCCAGGGTCAGGCACCCTCAGGAGCACTGGAAGGGGCAAATGTGAGGAGGAGAGTTGGGGATTGCAGAAGCCACAGCAAGGATTGGGCTGAACCTATAGCACCTACAGGTTTTTCCAGGAGTCTGGATCAACTGGCCCAAAACAATCACACGTGGTTATGTGAAGGAGTCTCATTTTGTTTTCTGTTCTGCCTGCTTGGGGGAAATTCATTCACCTGAGCAAATTCCAGCCCTGCTCCAACTCACCCAAAGTGAGAACTACCACAAGTAGAACATTCAGTGTGTTAGGAAAAAGCTTCATTTTATTCCCTTTCTCAAGTTACATCAGCCACTTCAGCTCTCCTCATTCTTTACCCTATAAGGCTGTCCCTGCTCCCTACCACACTCCCTAAAGCACAGAAAGCTTTCTCTCCTATTTTCCCCTATTAAAGAGGAATCAGATCTTGGACTCTGCAATGCGACCTGCAAAGGCAAAGACAGAGCTGTGGCTGAGTTTTCTTCTCCTGAAGCCAAAAAAAAAAAACCCAACCAAAAGCTTGTGGGAGCAGGGAGAGCAGTCATTAAGAGTTTAGGTCTTTTTGATATTTACCATTCAGATCTCAGCTGCCCCATTTCCCTCCATCCAAGACACTGACTGGAGAACTGAACAGTTTATTATGGTATCACACATGACAGGGAAGCAAAAGCTAATTAGCCAGGGAAGATTATTTTTATTATGACCATTTTAAAAACAATTTGGCTCTTTTTTCACATGCCTGAATAAAAAAATATCCCACCATATTTTCTTTTCAAAAACAGGAACAGCCTTTCCTCTGCTTCGAGCAAAGCCAGAGACATTTGCCAGTGGGCAGGATCCCATTCCTCCCTCTGCATGGGGGAAATGCCATCTGAATTTACAGCCCAGATTTGCTTTTCAAGTGAAGAAACAGGTAGAGGAATAAAACCAGAGATTCCAGACTATCCCCAAGCATCCATGAACCAACTCCCTTCACTCCCCACAAGGCACAGTGGGTCACCTTTTCACAGCACTTTATTTGCCCCAACTTGGAAGTCTTTACTTGCAAAAGGGATTTAAAGAGGAAACATCATAAAGCATCACCAGGCTCTGCTAACCTCCCTTCCCAGCTTCTCCCAAATCTCCATTACCACGGCCAAGCCACCATCTCCTTGCACAGGCAATGTTTTACCACACTCCTGGGCTGAACATTCAGACCAACACTGCCAGACTGGCACAGAGGGGCTGAAATGGAGGCAGCGCCCATCATTAGCCCACTTCCAACAACTCTTCTTTCCTTGGGAAAGCCACAGGCAGAGGATCCCACCTCTCCAGCCTCTCTGAGGGCTTCACAAGGCAAACCCCAGCCACGCCATGGGCACATTTCCAGTGAGAATGCCCAGAGAGGAGCACAAACACGCTCTTGATTCTGTTTGTGCAGCATCAAGCATAAACATAAAGCCCATTATGGCTCAGGACACAGCTTTCCTTTGATGCAAACCCTCTTCCCTCAGCACAAACCCCCAGCCTGACGTCAACGGGGCGGCCGCTAACCCCGTGCTGGGCTCGTGGTGAAACCACAGCCTGGTCACACTGCTCTGAAGAAAGATCTCCAGAGCATAATTCCTGTTTCCCAAACTTCAGCCCCAGTCAGTTTTTCTCCAGCGTGCACAGACACCCTGTGATCAATGGCTCAATTAGAGATGGTCCAAACACCAAAAATCCTGCTGGATGCAAATTACATCACGTCCATCTGCGACTGGGGCTGTGGTTTGACTTCTGAAGCATTAATTTCTTGATGAATAACCATTTGGAAGGAGGATTTTATCCTTTCTCAGATCATCTCTATCCCTTGAGGGTGAAACACAGTTTTTTTGCCAACCAAACCATTTTTTAATCCTCAAAACAGGAGCACCTTAGGACAAGGACTGCGCTCACACTCGATTCAACACTTAAATCGCCACAAAAATATGAAAATCTGAATTAGAGGACCACGCAGGTCTTACCTTCTTGAGCTTCCCACTCTTGGTGCCCACAAAAGCCAGGGAGTGGTTCTTGTAGACGTAGGCAATCACCGAGGTCATCCTGTCCCCATCCTCGGTGAAAATGGGGAGCCCTCTCACCATGGATGATACTCCCAAGGGGGCGTTCATATCCAGGCCACAGAAATTGTCATCGATTGTTAACAGCTGCAAAGGAAGAAAGAAGAAGAGGGTAAACAGCTGAAGTCACCAAAATTTTTGCCATTTGGGAAGTATCCATCTATTGCATAATGTGGCTGTAATTTATGCAGGCTGACAAAAAAATCAACAAGGACTGGAGAAAGAGGTGGAAAAAAGAAAAAACCTCTCTGAAGTTACACAATGAGTTACAGCCAGAAGCAGAAGTGGAAAGTTGGTTCTCTTGAATGACAGCCCAGCAGGATACATTACATGAAGCCTTTTTCCTACTGCTTTACCAGTCAGTTTTGCCAGTCAAGACTCACCAATCAAGTGGAAGTCTGCTGAAAATGTCTTAAACTTCCCTAAGTTCTGTCAAAAAAAAATAAAAAATACACCATTCCCATAGACCCAGAGTAAGAACCACTGAGCTAAATCTGCACTGGCAAATAAAATGGATCCTGACCTGTCCTCTGGACCCAGGATCCAACACTAAGGATCACATCTACAAAGCCTAAATAACCACTAAATAAATCCCAATTCTAAACTCAGTAAGGTTGCTTATGTTACATCTTGGAAATTATCCTCCAAGGAGTGTCCAGGCATTGTCTAAGCAAGAGAGAGTCAGATGGTCAGCCCAGGCTAAATCTGTAAAAAGGACCATGGTAAGAATTGAATACCTTGAACTTAAAGCCCTTTCCAGTACCTGATGAGGCTCCAAGAGAGCTGGGGCAGAACTTGGGACAAGGGATGGAGGGACAGGACAAGAGGCAATTGCTTCAAACTGCTGGAGAGCAGCATTAGATGGGGAGAAATTTTTGGCTGTGGGGGTAGCGAGGTCCTGGCACACATGGTCCTGAGAAGCTGTGGCTGCCCCTGGATCCCTGGGAGTGTCCAAGGCCAGGTGAGACAGGGCTTGGAGCACCCTGGGATAGGTGAAGGTGAGACCATGGCAGAGGGGTGGGACCAGATGGCGAGGGGGAAAAAATGCTGTGAAAAGCCAGTGTCTATTATGGCAGGCATTCTTCTCTCTCTCAGGATTTTTCATAGAGAAGCACAGAAGAAAGAAAAACAATTTCTATTTCTGCTCCTTGTTTTTCCCATGTGGAATGTGTTTGGAGAATTGTTTCCCTGGGGTGATTGCTTGGTTGGATTCTGGTGAGGATTGTTTGAGCTGATGGCCAATCCAACCCACCTGGGGCTGGACTCTCAGAGAGGGTCACAGGTTGTGAGTTAGAGATGGTAGTTCGAAAAAGTAGGTGTGTAGTTTGAGTATCTCCTTTAAATAGCATATTAATGTATAGTTATAATAAATCATTCAGCCTTCTGAACTGGAGTCAGACATCACCATTTCTTCCCACCGGGTTCACCTGCATTTACAACAGTCCATAAAGGAGACAGAGGAGTTCTGCAACTTTATTCAAATAAATAGAGAGTGACCCCACAGGGACATACCCCCATGGGGTTTTCTCTCTCAAGGTTTCAGATGATGCAGCCTCCTTTTATCCCAAACTCACCCTCTTCATTTCCCCAGTACCAGGAAGGTGCAGCCTTCCCAAACCACCTACCACATATCCCCCCTTGAACCCAGCATTTCCCCCAAAATTCAGCAGTTCTGGCTTCGGGGGATCCACCAGCAGTCCCACAGACTTTACCCATGCCCCTTTATCCAACCCTAAAGTTCACGAGTTCAAACTCTAGTTAAAATTCCCGGGTTTTGTGGTTGCTGGAGACATTTAGGCCCATTTCAAAAATATTAACACCTACTCCTCCTAAAGACCCCTCACCCTTCGAGTTGTTTGTAAGGACATTAGCACCCATGTTTCCTTCCTTCCTTGAAGGCACCTTCCAACCCAAACCATTCTGTGATTTAACTGGGATGCTGTAATTTCCTGAAGAGGAGGGAAATTTCCACAGCTACCACGGGGACTTTCCAGCTTTTTAGCTTTTTTTTGGTTTTTTTTTTTATCAATACTGCTGCCTGAGCTCCAACACCCACTGCATTCGAACTCGGCAGCATTTTCAGTAGGTGGATGCTTCACTGGGATCCTTTCACTTAAGTGAATGTCATGTCCAGTTATAAAGGGTATTTCCTTGGGCTTCAGGATGTTCCAGAAACACAGCAGGAACATGGCACAGGCAGATCTTCTACCTTCAGGCACCATCAAGGCAGGTGAAGCTAATACACCTCACTGAATAAATCAAATAAAACTCCAAATATCCCAGCACACAACTGCCAGAGCAGTTGGACTTTATTAACTCCTCTGGGGCTGCTCACAGATTTCAAGTTAAGCATCCACTTAAAATGCTTTGCTAAAGCCTAGAAAAGCAATAATGAAGTGTACAGGAAGGTTGCCTAGTTGTGATACATCAGTACTAAAGGACCATGACAATTTTCTTTGAACTCATATGTTCCTGGAAACACGGCTAAAAAAAAAGTGATGGTCCCTGCTTGAGTTCACGAGCAGTAAAAGCCTGATAGTTGATTCATTTTATCCTCACCCAGCAATTACGGGCAATAATTACAGATGGTTTTGCTGAATAGAAGAATAATGCATCCTAAATGTGTTTATAAATACATAAAACCTAGGAGGAATTCAAAGAGCCATTAGGAGGGATCAGCTAGCCTGAGCTCTGGCCTGCAGGAGTCATTAGTGTTTGTGGACTGCCCTTTTTAGCAGAGCTAAAACACAGGCTCAAAGAGCAATTAGGGAGCAGATCAGCAGCCTCCAGCAGCAGCAGGCAGGATGCTGCTAGTCCAAAACGACAGCAACAAGTCCAGGATAAATCTGCAAGCTCTAGTACATGGAAATAAATCCATTATCAGCAGGAGAAAGGAGACGTGTCAGAGAAAGAACCACCCAACCAAACTGGAAATGCACCTTCCAGCAGAGCCAGGTGGCCACAAAACTATTCCAGATGAACCCTTCAGCCTAAATACAATCCCCTCAGCACAACTGTATGGCCACTCGATGTCCCTCCAACCTGAACTGTCCTATGGATGTCAGATCCAAGAATCCAGGTCTTCAAGTCAGGCTCAGTTTGCCCAGAAACTCTTCAGCTCAGAGATGAGCACAGTTCTCAGGGTCTGTAGTGCTGGGATGGCCCCAAGAGTGCAAAAGTCCCTTTTTCCCAGCCCGTGCAGCCAAAGAAGGAGTCTAGAATGTGTAGGATCAGCTTCTCAAGGTTGTTTATTTTTCCTTACCTATAACATTCTTTATCTGATCTGTTGAGCTCTGTCTAGCAAAGGGACCATGGCATTCTGTGTGTTGCCTCAGGCAGAGTTAACATTGTATACTCAAAACTACCTGTACAATGTTTGCAATAACGTGTCAATATCTATAATCTATGTTGGACAGTGTGCCTCTACCTTAAAGCAAAAGAAAAGTGTCACCATCACACCAAGACACGGAGGGCAAGAAGAAGAAGGTCAGGACACGCCCAAATCCCTCCATCTGGAACCCCAGAACTATATTCTAAAAACCCCAAAATTCTACTTTTTTACCCTGTGTTAATTCAAATATCACACTACTCAAACCCTTGTGGCTTGTAATTCCTCATATAGAGTTGGCAGCTTTTTTCACGGGCTAAAATGGAAGCCACAGGTGTTTTTGACTTCTTGCTGAGGTCTCTGAGCCCCCTGCTAGGGTCTGGAGACAGCCAGGGCAGCCAGAGGGATGGCCTGGGCTCTGACACACAATTTGTGTTTCAGGGCTATAATCAAACTGCCTCAGTGCTCACTCTGATGGCCTGACAAGCTGAATAGAATCACTTCAGGCTGAAAGCAAGAAACTCCCAAACAGTGGAAAGAGGGGAAAGGGAGGAAAGTTTCCAAGGAAAACAAGACAGCTTTCTTCACCTCCAAGACGATGAAAAGCTTCATAGGGCCAGCAGTCATCTTACCTAAGGTGCAGGGTGCAAAGCTCCATCCAAAACTAGAGAAAATTACTCTCACAAACAGCAGAATGAGATAAATCCAGGAGAGCTGCCACAGTCGAAGGCATCCTCCCTGGAGGAACACAGCCAAAACCAACCCCTCCAGCTGAAGTATTTGAGATCAGAAAGGATCTATACAATCATCTGGCTGCCTTTCTACCCAATCCAGATCCTCCCAAACCCAGGAAGGAGCCTGGGAGGACAGAGCCCCCAAAATCACAGCGTTAAGCACAAGCACCTGTGGCTGATTTGCGGCCTGTTGAGGTCTCATTAATCTAATTGCCCCTGGGTGGGGCTCCAGCTGAACTCAGACCTACCCTTAATGGGGTTGATAATCCCACACAGACACAAAATTAAATTTAAGCCTATTTATATCATCTTTTTTCCCCTGATATTACTTACAGGAGAGCACATGCTTATAAGAAGGACTTAAGTAGAAATAGGGGGTAGATTTTTTAAAGAAGGCAGAGTCACACTAGGTTTAAAGAAGAAATTGTTTATGATGAGGGTGGGGAGCTCCTGGCACAGGTTGCCCAGAGAAGCTGTGGCTGACCCTGGATCTCTGGAAGTGTCCAAGGCCAGTTTGGAGGGCTTGGAGCACCCTGGGAGAGTGAAAGGTGTCCCTGCCATGGCAGGGGGTGGAATTTGATGGTCTTTAGGTCATTTGCAACCCAAACTGTTCTAGAACTCTGTGTCCACTCACGTGCTGCTGGTTGGGTGCCAGAGGAGCAATCACAGCGTTGTGGTTTGCCATAACCCTCCCCCAGGAACAGGAGCGAGGCCAGCAAGCCACACGCCACACGAAAACTATTTTCATTGAACATATTTGGGTTATTTCTTCTGGGAATCATCTGCCAAAAAAAAAAAAAAAAACGCCAGCAAGCAAAACCCTACAAATAAACACCACCAGGCTCCTGCACAGCTGTGGCTCTCAGCAGCTTTGTAGAAATACAGTCATCTTCTGCAGCAAAGAGAGACACGTAAGGAAGTTTGTATTTATGATGAAAGGGTCAGGAGTTGCAAGCACAGGTTTATTTTCAATTCCAGACACTCCTAGCAGCAATATAAAGTAGCCACGTTAAACTCTCTGGAGC